TATATCTTCATGCCTGCTTTCTTGCTTTTTAAGGCCAAGTGCTATTATAAACCTATTGCTACTCTAATAAGATATTTTTGCCAAAGAATTCCCTAATAGTACTGTTCATACATTTTGTACCATGTTCTATTAGCCCAGTTCTTTTCACAATGCTCAGTCTTTTAAGCCTTTCAAGTTAAATTGTTTTTCCAGTAGAAAATAGTAAAAAAAGATCGCTGTTAATTTTAACTTGAGGGCCAGGGAGATGGCTCAGTAGAATAAGTGCTTGCCTGGCAAGCGCAAGGTCCTGAGTTCAATCCCCAGTACTAAAAAAAAAAAAAAAAAAAAATTAACTTGAATGCTTGTCTTGGGTAAACAACCCTGAACTAACTCTGTACCTAGGGGGCCGGGGAGGTGGCTCAGTGGAATAAGCACTTCCCTGGCAAGCGCAAGAACCTGAGTTCAATCCCCGGTTCCGGAAAAAAAAAAAAAAAAAGAGAGAAACTCTGTACCTACTCAGCTAGACATTTACTGTTACTATTTTATTTTTTCTTAAAGTTCTTAAATTCATAAATGAATTAAAGAAACTTGACTTTTGGGAATTTCTGTGCTTAGTGGATTGACTTGCATTTGTATGTCTTGTTAGCTAAAATGTGATGGTAGACTAAAAATATGGAAATTTAAATCATTTCGTTATTTTTCATACAGGATTAACTGTCCATGTTAATTTGGCCCTAATTATTAACTCCATAAAATATAGTAGTACTACATCTGACCTCAACCTAATTTGTCTCTGTTGCTTGTATGTTTAAACATTTCAGTGAGGATTTATTTAGGCCTTTTCTGACTCTCACTTCTACCTTCTCTTTCTTCACCTTTCTTGACCTGTTGAAGTAGAATAACAAAAAGATGGTAAGTGAGGTTACACACATGCTCTCTGTTTGTTTTCCACTTTTGCTTGGTGGGACAGTAGTTGTTGTTTTGTGTCCCTTTAGTATTGGGGAGGGGGGCAATTCCATATTTTTACTTTAAGTACTTTCATTTTTAACCTTTTTCATTGCTTCAATTTGGTAGCAACTAATTAAGTCCTATACTTTCCTGATTGCATACAATGGACCAAATAAGAACTAATTACTAACATAGTTTTGAATTGTTTTCCTTGTTTTTCCTGTAGGTGAATGTTATAATTAAAATGGAATGTGGTGTGCATAATATTAGAAACCAAATAGCCATATATAAGATATGTATGAGCCAAAACCATTGGGATGAAGTTGTTTGTTATGTTTGGATAAATTCATTTTATCGACAATGCCAAACTAAAACATTGCCACTCATGCCTTATGTATGTATTAGCATCTGTTATGGAATCATATACAGTTACTAAATGAGGTAAATTTTAATATATAAATGAATGGAAAGAGAGAATTAAAGAATGCCTTGTGTCTGTATCATCCTTACCAATGCATAGATTGGACAATATTTTCTCAAGATAAATAAGGAAAAGGTAGCCAAAGGAAAAGGTAGCCAGGGGTGGTGGAGCACACCTGTAATCCCAGCACTTGGGAGGCTGAAGCAGGAGGATTGTTGCAAGTTTGAGACCAGGCTGGGCTACAAAGTGAGCTCAAGGCCAGCATAGGGAGACTCAGTCTCAAAAGGAAAGAAAAAGAGGGAGAAAAGAAAAGAAGGAAGGAAGGAAAATCAGGGGGCCAGCCAACTAACTCAGCCCATTAAAGCACCTGCAAGCAGGTGCAGAGGCCGGGAGTGTGATCCCTGGGCCTGCCAATCCCCCAGCCTGCCATGGCAGTTGAGACTGGGTGTGGTGGCGCACACCTGTAATCCCAGCTCTTGGGTGGCTGTAAACAGGTGGATCACTGAGTCCGATCTAGTAGTAAAACCCTAAACACCGTGTAGACCCTTCCCTAAAAAAATGAATAAATAAAAGGTAAATCATTTGTAAGACTTTCCCACAAATAATAAAAATTTTCCTTCAAATAAATACCATTATGGTGCCTTTTTCTTTTCAACTAGAAGAGCCCATCCCACACATTTGATTCTTTCATTACATTTTTCTCTGATAGTCTTAAGTGTGTCTATAGTACTTTCAAATTTGTTTATAATAGCATTTGTAAGCAGTTTTGACACAAAAATAAGGCATTTCTAAAGATACCTATTTAATAATACATTATGAAGTTTTATTTTGAATAAACTAAAATATATCTAAACATAGAAATTTCTGTATTTTTCTTATAGAAATGATCATGTTTTAAAACTGCCTGTACTTGTAAAGAACAGTGCAGTGTTAATGTAAGTTTTTTTGTTTTTGTTTTTTTTAAAGAGAATTGCTTTTTAGGGATATAATTGGTTTTTAAATTTCTATTTTCTAATTTGAGGTGACAGTGTTCAGAGTGGTTCTTGGCAAATATTATCTATGCTGCTTGCTTTTAGTAAAACGTAAATACCTGACAGTGTCTCATACAGTTACTTTGATTTTTGTTTTTTCTTTCTTTCTTTTTTCTTTTTCAATTAATAATGATTTTTCATTCTTTCAAATAATAGGTTGAAGTCCAGCAGTGAAGTAGACAATAAAGACCTAAGGCTGGATCTGATCATTTGTATGTTGGTTCAGAAGGACGAGGACAATTTATATAATATTCTGAGTGTTTTTTACTTTGGAAAATTTAGGGGGCACTAGGAAATATTCTAGAATTACAGAGAATTTTGTATTTTTAAATAAATGTTAGCTATATCAAATTTTAATTGGATAGTTTGAATGTCTAATAAAGAAATTTTGCCTTTTCAAATAAATTGGTACTTCTTCCCTTTTAAATCTCCTTTCTGTGTAGAAGGATCTAAGAATATGCAATGTCAGACATTCCTTTCCCTTCACCCCTTGTAGTATGTTGCTCTTAGAGGTATACGTGGCACTTTATTTTGAGTTGGTGTTGGGTCAGACATTCGCAAGCCTGTTTCCTTGCATGGAATAAAAACTGTTCTGTCAAAATAAGATGAGACTTAGTCTAAACTGGTTTAAATAATGCTAGTTTTATAAACTAATTACCTTGTATAATACACACAAAATAGGTATATTAATTATAGGGGAACATAAGTGACGAAATGGAGTATTAAGTTAGATCTGTCAATAACTAAAATTTGTATAGATTTCTCCCTTAACATTTTATTAAGCAGTGTTTAAAATACGTACTTATCACCTAGATTCTGACATTAACATCTGGTACTGGCTTATCAGATACTGTCTGTCCATCCCATGAAACCATTTTGGGTTTTTTCTGTGTACAGTATTTCAAATTACCAGTACACTTCTCCCTGAATACTTTACATGTGCTATGCATGCCTGCACAAATTCAGATTTTTAGTTTTGTGTTTTCTTCACAAATTTAGATTTTTAGTTTTGTGTTTTCTTCCCCTAAAGATTCTAACTAGTTAGAAGTTAAGAAATTTGGGTATTAAATTACAGAAAAAAATTATGGAAAAATAAACTAAAATATTAATTGCAGCAGAAAGTATTAATGAACATTTCTAGTTTCTGTTTTCACTTTGTCTTCCCTTGTAATAATGCTTGTAGTGGATTTTCCAGAAATCTATTTTTTGATAGTTTCTTCATCCTGGTTTTAACTGACTTTTTTTTTTAAGTTTAAAACTTACATATTTTGGAAACCTCCATTTTTAAGTCGTCTCACATTAATTGCCTTCTCTATTTACCGGTAATTCCAACTTGATGCTATAGCACGTAGTTTCTACTTCTTGTATTTTAAAAACTGAGGGCTGGGGATGTGACTCAGTGATATAATTCTTGCCTTGCATGCATAAAGCCTTGAGTTTGATCCCTAGCACCACAAAAATAAATGAATAGAAATTGAGTTTGTCAGCACATAAAGAGATTAATATTATTTAATGTCTTGGCTCTCTGATTTCTAAAATAAATTTGAATTCTAGGACATTATTAATCTTTTACTTTTTTTTTTTTTTTTTGTATACCAGGGATCAAACTCAGGACCTTGCACTTGCCAGACAGGTGCTTAAGCCACTGAGCTGGCTCCCTGGCCCTTAGTCATTTACATACAAAAAATTTTTTTGGGGGGGAGTACCTGGAATTGAACTCAGGACCATGGAGTTGCCAAGCAAGTGCTGTGCCACTGAGCTATATCCCTGGCCCCTTAATTTTTCAAATGTGGATCATCTTGAACATAATCTTGTGCTGGGGAAATAGCTCAGCAAGGTGCCCAGTTCGATCCCTGCTACCTGCCCCTTCCCCCCAAAAAAGATCTCATTGGAGATAAAAGTATTATGATTCTTGTGTGGTAGTATAATTTCTAGTATTACATATATTTTAAGATTGATAACTGTGCCTGCAACATAATTCCAAAGAATGAGTTGTTTCCTTGTTCATACTTTTTTATGTCATTCCAAATTTTCATTCATCTTGATGAGATACGGGATGATCAAAACATATAGTGCCTATTTACTTTCTACAAAATTATAAAAGACACATTGCTATTATTTCCTCTCAAAGTACTCCCCTGTGATTCAAATACACTTCTCCCACTGTTCCTGGCAACTGTAGTAAGTTTTAAAATTTAAACTGTCTGCTATTTTTTTGATCATTCCTTATATGTAGAAATTTAAAGTTTAGTTCAGACATATAGTCTGTGAAATTTATGTTAACAGATGCATAAATGTATTATAGAGTCTTGCTT